GGGGTATTAGCTGGTACATGTAAAACTGAGCATCCATTTGTAAATGGAAAATACTGATACCATGTAGATTTCGCTGGAAGGAGAAGATATCTACTGATGAAGTATCTCAGCTCGTTGTAGACTGGACAGCACGCCATTTTTTACAAAATTTTCTCATGTAAAATTAAAATATCGGGGATTATTGCATTTTCCCTAGAGGGAGGAGCGAGTAAATGAATGTTGCAGGATAATAGTATTTCATATTATTTATAATAGCGGGCATTGAATCTGATCAGAATGTGAAGCCAAAGTAATTGTGGTTAAGGATGCGATACTCCGTTGTTAATCTGTAAGGATAATATTGAATACAACCTAGAAGGCTTGCTCGACAATTATATACAGGCAATTAACAATGCGTCTTCTTGGAAATAGTACGCACGATGAGCTATTAAAGCTGATGTTTCCAAGCGTGACCTGACGCAGCTCTCAATGCACCTGAATCACGTTTCCTTACAATCACGTAACCAAATATTCAGAGAATACGAATTCCAAACTTCATACTTCGATGAACATCTTACAATGATCTGCCATCGCGATAATGCTGTGAACGAAATACGGAATGAAACAAGGGTTGGAGCAGGGCTGATCATTACTATTGAACCGTTGGAAACAATTACGTTACAAGTCGAGAACCGTCTGTCATGTTGCAACCATCTCCTCACTATCTAGAAATAATGATTGATACAGAACTAAGTTTCGCATAGCCTACGGGATACCTCAGCACTAGAATATCTGCTGTGGTATTCACCTAATTCTCGATTATATCCATTGTTGCGCTGCAGAGCATACAAAACAGTAATGGTGATGCAATGGAAAGCGCTACAACGACTAAGATCTCTTGAGTTAAGTTTGTTATCTATCGTCTGCTGAACCAATTATAATTCCATGTTGCTGTTCAGTCTGCAATAAAGAATCTTGATGAATTCAATAGACGAATTCCAAAAAGTATTACTCAGGTCAAAGCATCTCGAGACGTTACCATACTTTTTAGTTTGTAATGACTAGATTCCTGGTGGCCTGTATTTTTACGATTCAATTCTCCCATCACGATTCCAATCCAATCCAATTACGATTCTATTTGAATGTTAATTTTACAATGAAGAATCGTCTTGATGGACTCAAAGAATGGATTTAAAAAAAATGAAAGGCTGCAGTTGTTTTAGATTATAACGACTTTTGAATCTCTTTCGATTTCTGAATTCTTTGCATTTCAAGGGCAATTTAAAAGATAATTTTGAGTAATGATGAGGATTACATAGTCACAGCAGTGGGCACGTTTGTTCTGGTTGGTGATTGGTCAAGTGTCGTTTGTTACGCGTCAATCGACCAATCACAAACCAAAACCACCGTGTGCAAGCTGTGAGCATGTGTTTATAATTGCTGCCCGATAGTTTCAAGCCTCTATTGAACATGAGTTTCAAAATCAATCAGCACTCACCTGAGTAGAAATTGGGAGCGATTCTACGAAATTGCACGTTGTGGTGAGCTTTACACTGCGAGGCCATAAGAGATTGTGATAGTGAGCTGGCTGACATACAGCAGAAGAAACATGCCTCGAGATTATTGCACATAGACAAAGCTCTTTAGGAAATATGAGTTCTGGAATGGAACTAATAATGTTAACGATCGGATAAACTACGAGATCAAAAACATGAATTACCAGACGAAAAATTAAAATTTCCATTTCAAACTTAAATAAAGTAAATTCAGTATCAAAATGATAAATTAGTGCGTAAGTGTATTTTTGTCGAGGGCAATTTTAGTCAATATCTCGGAATGGAAGGGGCATAGTGAATTTTTTGCATAGAATATTTCTTATCGAAAAAAATGAGAACTGCCAAGAAGGTATCCATGAAAATATAATTATCTTCATCTTCCTTCAATTTCTAAAAATCGTAGAAATTGTGAGTCGTTAGTTATTGCTTGTCGGTTCGAACTTATAAATCTCAAGTTTAAAATCGTAATTCATATTTTTAATCTCGTCACTTAGCCTGAAATCGTCATTTGTATTTTTGATCTCGTACAAGGAGAACAGAGTTCAATAAAAAATACCACAAAAAGAATGTAAAAATGAAATGGAGTTCAATAAAGAGTGTGACTTGGAACTTGGAAGAGAAATTTTACGGAACAGAAGGTGCAAACAACTCATCAGTCTTCTAAAAATTATTGAACGTCCATGAATTTTTATTTTTGAGGTATAATAAGTCGAGGTATGTGTGTGCGATTTTCCTTTCAATGATGAACTTGAGAAACTCCTGGACGTTTTAAATTTATTTACTTTCATCCGTGGTTTTATTGACAAACTTGATAGAATATATTGCAAAGATTTATTTGTAATGAGACAGACGGAAAATCGGAATACAAATGCAAAAATATAAATAAAATTTGAAAAATTACCGATAAAAGAAATCTGACGGATTCAGCCAAATACAAATGTCATCAGCAAGAAACGAAGCGGGAACTTAATACCCCCGTAATTTCACTATTGAGATAGAATAGCGACAACTATCTACAGTTCAGCAGAACATTATTTGATTCGATAACAATAGACGTATTCCGATGGAACTTATGCAAACGTATTCACAATTAAGATATACAAATAGATTCTTAATTTAATAAATTTAAATTCTTTTCTATTTTATTAAAAAATTATAATTTTCTATTTTCAGGCTTATCCCAAGAGAGACATCACGAATATCGTGGAATCATCTCATTACGTCAGGGTAGGCGGTTGGTGCAAGCCAGGAAGGACCAAGTGCAAGTTGTCCAGATGGGTTAAACCATACAGATGTCTGGGTAATGCTAATGAGCTTTATTAATGTACTTCACACACATGCGTTTTATGCACTGCTATCTCTCCGGTCCATACAATAAAAAATCGTACCTGCTAAAAGACAATTTAAACAGGAAACTCTCTTGCAATTACTTCTCCCACTCTATACTGCACAATAGTCCATTCCGTGGCTAATGCCATGAATTATGATAAGACAAATAGGAGTATATATTTATATTCGTTAAAAAATATTTCTTACCAAAAGTGAGAGTAGAGGGTATGAAGGTTGAGAACGGCTATTTTTTCGGATTTATCAATGAGCAGATTCATAGTTGTTCCAGTTTATTATGATGCATGTTATTCGGAGAACTAAACAACCAGAGGAGGGGCTGAATAGTATATTTCGGCACATCGTGATGAAAACTTTTTTTTAATTGTGAAACTAGCCTTTTTTATCCCCGTGTAGAAGCATGGAAAAAGAGAATCGGAAATTCAGTCAAATAAAAATATTGGTCTGGTAAATCAATTGAAAATGAATTTGAGGCCCGGTTGGAGTATCTGATTATCTCGTATAGACATTTTTTTTTCCTTGTTTTTTTTTTATCTATAACTTTGGTGCAGTCCTGCATGAAGCAGAGCTGTATCACAAATGCATGTAGGCTGAAAAAGAAAGTAACAAAAAAACAAAAATATAGAGCCATGTTTTTTTATTAAAATGGGAGGATAATTGTACAAAAGCACAAGTTGGAAATATCTGATATGATGGAGCAGGGAGGAGACGGGGAGCGACAAAAGAAATATCTTCCTATGCGGTTGATGGGGCATTATTTCACAAAGTCGTTCTCTGAAAAATTGTAAAATATCTTTAAAATTTTTTTAGTTACAATTTCCTTACGTGATCATTGACAGATGTTTCCGAATTAGATACAGAAAAATTGAGGTGTTTCAGATAAAAAAAAAACAAGAAAAAAAAAATTATCTATCCGAAATAATCAGATTATAGGGCCCCAACCGGGCCTTAAGTAAATTTATTTGGTATAAGTAAATGTATAGGAATAATTACATTGTAGTATGTGAATTTTTTACGCAGTTAATTGACAGAAGCAATGGTTTTCTTTGTTTTCATAAAAATTTGGATACCGTTGGGCTGAACGTGAAAATGTTGTCGTTGTCGATGATAGGGAGTTGTTGCTTGGACTTATTGTTACAGTTTCGGGTTTTCTGTGGTTTCCTGTGTCTATCGTAAAGACCGTATTTAATACCGTATTGCCTACAAGTACGGCCGATAGTAAAGGCTCCATCGGACTTTCTCACCGCAACTTGTCCCAAGTAATGCCTTACTGAAATATGACAATGGCTTAAATTCAGATCTCCTCCTATCTCATAAGGGTAGAACTCTCTCCGTCAATTATAACATTGCGGGGTAAATATTGGCATGAACCTACTCCAATTTTTATTTGAAATTGGTGCATGGTAGGAATAATAATATTATCTGAGACAATCCAGTATTAGAAATCGAAAATTCTGGTGGCTCATAAATTTTCCTTAGTTTGGTTATTTAATGTTGAAGCGAAATAGAAGTACAAACCAATATCACTAATGCTAGGTTGAAATTCATGTCCTGACATAATTCCATATTGCACGGTGATAAATAATTTCTTTTACCAAGTAAATGAACTTACTCCAGATCCGAATATTTCAACGTAAATTTTCCTATGCATTAACATGTGCCAAGCAAGTTCACTTAACAGAAGTGAATTAATTTACCGGGAGAATTTCGTTTTTTCAGTGTATGCCTGAGAGGCGCACATTTTAGTTCTAGGGAGCGCGATATTGCCTAAAAAATCAGAGTGACCGATTTTTATCAAATGACAACTCAAAAAAATAAGCACTCATAAGATGCTTACATCAGTAATTTACTTTGATTTATTTTTATTTTATTTAGATAATACGTGATGTACAAGAAATTTCACATAAAATTTTCGCCACCTCTCAAGTCTGAAGCCCTAAAACTTGATTAACACGAAAATGCGTCATGGCACCTATTATTGATCTCTCTATTCTGTGCACACGATTACATCAAATTGCATTGATCATACTCATCCATTTCACAGAGGGCCCCTTCCAAAGTGATGCACTCCTGGTACCAGAGGGCTGTCTCTTTGACCATTTACATAACCACACGAAATGTTGGGAATCTCATAGGTAAGTCGTGTGAATTAAGTAAAGAACGACAATTTAAGCAATTACCTTATTTTTAATATCCGCGTGCCAATTTATTAAAAATCATCGGCTGTAAGAGCATTCGGAACTCTCTGTCTCCGCGTAACAGAAGTCATCTATGTCAGCTATATACCGAATATATATGTGTAATATCTGTGTTCACTTATGTACCGTTTTCCGTGCGGGTTATAGTATGATTTGTCAATCCTCTTCATCGTGGAATAGTATTCACTGACGAGTTAATGGCGGCCAATTAAGAATTCATGAGAATTTTTCGAATTTAAGCTTGAAAGCGTTTCATCCTATTGATCCCATCAGTACCTGCGTTATAACATTTTCTCCTATATAAGGATTTTCATACGGTACACTATTCACGTTTCTTCTATTTATGTTTTATAAATCGATGTTTTTTATTTGATTTTTGTGTCAAACTGGCGATGGAATTGAAGCAAAAATGGAAAAAATGGGGGAGATGCAGGATAAGATGGAATGCGGGTAAAATAGAGTGAATAAAGAGGTTCAATGCGAGACGAGAGGGAAAAATTGATAGTAAGAAGCCATTATTCAACATTTCGGTTTTTCCAGAATTTAATTACACTTAGCTAACTTATAAAAAAATATTAAATTTCCATATGAGGAATTTCATAATCAGAAGCAGAGAATGAGCGATTGAAATTAGACGGCATATTGTTAGAGAATGTTGAAAAATAAAAAATGTAAGAAAACAGTAGTATAATTAAAAGAAAAAATCCCATTCGGAAAAACGCTTTGCCGCAAGTATCCCATTTTACCGCCGTGTTCCGGTTTCCCCGGCTCTCCCCTGACGATTTTGTGCTTATTAATTATTTAATGGTTCACCAAGTTGCAAGGTGGTGCAACAATTTTCTACATTTAATATTTTCCTGCGTTTTTCCCAAACTTAAAAAAAAATCACAAAACTGTAGAAAAGAAAAACGCATGAAAATGTTTGCACCTTGGCTAAACTTCGTGAACCATTAAAAAAATGATAAAACGCCAAAAGGGTATATTTTTTAAGATCAGTGGCATCAACAATTTGCGAGAAAAAGGAAAAAAAAAGATCAATTTTGACGGAAAAGGTGGAGAATATGGTTAATATTTGAAGTAAGTTTCATTACCCATAATCAAATAAATTGGGAACTTAATAGATGAAAAAATAAAATAAGAAAGCTGACTTACAAAATTCACTGAAAAATTCGAAATATATAGCTATGGTAATTATCTCCAAGTTTCTGAACCACTATTCATTAACTCATTATTAGACGTCATATTTCAATGGTTAACAATTTCCTTCGCATGTTTTAAGGTGGAATTCAACTGCGGCTGATACCTGTCGTGAGCGGAACATGAACCTCCGAAGTTTTGCGATGCTTCTTCCCTGTGGAATATCTCTATTCTCCGGGGTGGAGTTCGTGTGTTGCCCGAAGCATCTCAAAGGTATGTAACGTACGTAGTCGTTATGTGAAATATCTACAGACAAGCTTATGGACCAAGTCAAAATGAACAGCAACGCAAGAAACCGTTGTGAGGACTAAACAATTATTTAAACATTGTTTATTGTACTGCGTGCGAAAAGTCGCGACTAACTCACTGTAGGCGTTCATTATTGGCAACGTCGTTCAATAAAATATCGTAACTCCCAAGTTATTAAATCTCGTTTTAAACGAATATCGTTACAGACCTCGTCTGCTGCTTAGTCAGTAAACCTCACGTTCGTTAAAATTGACATCCCCTAACCAGTACGTTAATATACTGTATTCAAAATCCTCAAACGGCACGAATGTCCGCGGTTTATATTCATTCCTGTCAAGCCGACAATTCAAATATCGTTAATCATTATTTTTAGCTGACCGTTAGTGTACATGGAAATAATATATACTTGAATCAAGTACAACTTCATACTTGATTTCATTATTAATTAGTAATTGAAGTCTGTTGTGAGAGGAGAAAAGTTGGTACTCATGTAAAACAAAGGAAAAATATTTGTAATATATAAATCAATTGAGAATTATTATTAATATTAAAAGTTTAAAAAACACGCAAAAAATGTTCGCGCCACCTTGACACTTCGTAAGTCATGAAATAATGACAAAACGCAAAAACTTTATATTTTTTACTATCAATTCCATTGATAATTTGCCAAAAATTAAAAAAACATGAATTTTGACTATAGATGAACGTAGGATACCTTTAAATACTACAAAAACGGTTGCTGTTAATATTTTTAGCTTAATATTTTAAACTATTTGGACAATGTAAAAATCTGTATAAATTTTGACTATGAAACCCATCGAGAACCTAAACCTTCATTACGAAAATCGTGACGAGGGTTTTATGCATCTAACCACCGCAATGAAAGGCTTCACACCCCATAACACCACCGACCTAAATCTGAAATGTTTTTTTTTATACATGTGGATCGATTTGATGGCTCCCTATATTTCAGGTAGTACCTACGGTATTACTTGTTATAAGCTTCATATGAAATGACCAAGGGGTATTTCAGCGGTGGGAATTATTAATCTTCCATCGTTTATCGCCCGACAAATAATATTACCGCTCTCCGATATATCAGTCTGTGAACTTTTTTCTCCGTCAGATGATCCTCCGCGTGTAATACTCGGAGCACAGATAATTCAGACCATTATTAGCAGTAATACATTTGTAATTATTTCAGTCCCCTTCGCACCCCATCGTCTTCTTCCATTTGTGCAATCGAAGATTTTATATAGTTACAATCGTCAAGACTATGTCTATTGGTAGCTGTAGAGATATTTTCTATTCAGTGAACAGTGCGATGGATATCTAGGTTAATTCGGAGTAGTGAATAGCCGATTCTAGTAAAATGCATTTCTAGCTTAGGATCAAAGGTTTATTTCATTTAAGAAATTCACGTTTTTGTATTGGCGGATTGACAAGAAAAATATAACGTTTTTGTGTTTTGTCATTCGATGGCTCACGAAATTTCGCAGTAGTACGATTATTTTGATACGTTCGACAGTTTTGTGAATATTTTTTCACGTTAATACCACAGTACGTTTGTCAAAAAATTTTTTTTAAATGTGAGTTTTGGCGGGAAGGGTGTAGAACAATAAGATGACCCTCAAAATGTCACTAGAAGTTCCCTTTCTTCGCAAAGTACACAAACGGACGAGAAATCTCTGACAAATTAGGGTACTTTCTCAACTCCTCTCATACGATGTATTTTATTGAAGTACTCTTTTGTCACTTCAAACTTTATTTGCATATACATACACATTAAACAATAAAATATCTACCTCTTGAAGTCTCGAAAATAAACAGATGTGGTGTATAATCAATGCCTTAAAGTATCGGATCAGAAGTCAACGAGCTCAGTATAGTTGAGCAATCAATTAACGACAATGTAATCACCAGAGTAGCTTTCCAACCGTAGTTAGAGAACATTACCATATAGAGTAGCTAATCAGCAGTGATTAGAAATTGTTTCTTAATCAATGCTAAATAGAATATGTTCAAGATATAGTATTAGGATATAGAGCATCTCCTTTATTAATTATTTCAATTGCATGAACTTCAGTGAAATAAGATTCAGAATATTATAAGTAAAATGATTTGTCAGTTTTTTCAAAAATGACTGGAGACATTCAACCGCGGATTAACGGCTCGCACATTTATGCTAATCGAATTCTGATCTAACTAATTGAGTAAAATAAAAGAAGAAAGCAGCATTAAATTAAACACGTAATGGTTGGATCACACTGATAGATGGAATTTCGTAAATTTCATCAGACAAGCTCTTCAAAAAATATGTCGTTACCTTTGTGGAATTGAGAGATATTTTTCGAAAACTTACAACAATTCGCCAAATCCTATATAAAACGTGATGAGTTCATGGCAATTTTGCGAGACAACAATTTTTAACAATTTTCGGATGAAGCAAACCAAGATATCTTATTGGCATTTGGTGATTTCATATCCGGCCGTGTTCCGTGCAAATACACGACAGATGTCCGGCCAACCTCTGGGTTCTTTGGTCAATGAAACTTTCTACAAGATACAGCAAACCATCTGGTTCAGATTACCCAATTTTTTCAATAAATATTTATTGTTGTTCATATTGAGAATAATCCTGCATTCTTCTCCTACCTTCTTTGCCGTTGTAAAAATATTAAACTATGTATCCACTTAGTTTATTAATGTAAGCCCATGGAAATTGCTTTTGTCACAACACATTTTAGATAAGTAATTGGCTTCCAAATGAAAATTAAGGAAGAATTGCTATTCCAAATTGAATTCAATTACTCGATTGAAACAGTTGAAATATTTCTGATGGTAACAATATCGGAAAAAAAGTGAAATTTCAGGTGAAAGTGTTGAGTACTATTTATTTTCAATTCATGACAAGTTGTTCAACGCCCCAATGAATGCAAAATTGCTTTGCGGGATGGAATTCTGTATGTTGTACTCTGGCAATTTGAATTTTCATATTGATATATCTCTGCAGAATGATGAAACTGTTGAAAATTCCGGTAATGATTTCTCTGTGCTTGTGTTGTGCGGTGAACGAGTGAAATTTGGTGAGGGTTTTTAATTGGAATTGATTTCAAACACACATAATTAGAAATTCTCATTTAACTTTATGACTGAACTTTCAATAAATTTCTAACAGTGTAGCAGGCTTGTTTTGGATTTTATGCAGTAACGATCAATGAAGTAAAGTCGATAACGCGAACAATTGACGCATTTCAAAGGAAGTTGTCGATATCTCAGTGAGACTTTGATATGATGTACTATTGTTTAAAAGTCAAAATTAATTTTTGTAAAAAGTGGACATCCGGTTACCGGACGATGCAGTGGAGTTTTTCAGAAACCAAGGCATATAGATAGTATAATATTTAGCTACATACTATATTTTAGCATTGTTTAGTCTGTCACAATAAAGGCGAGGGAAAGGGAGGAAATAGGTAGGTGTGAAATGTGAGGGTGCCGTAAATGAGTAGGATTGAACCTTCTATGACAGAGTGAGTGGACGTGGTATGCGCGTCGAGCAAGCAATCAATAATGTGCCCGGTTGTACGTCGAGTACGTCGAGTACGTCGACGTCTGCGCAACCAAACTACACTCTCTATCAGATCACCCTTGTCCCCATCCTTTTTTCATCTAAATTACGCTGTATATTTATTTTTATTTTTTCACTCGCCCCAATTTTACTAAATCCCACTAACTGATAAATATCAAATCTCTTGTTGTAAATTGAAATTTTTGGGGCTGTATCTTTGATTAAAAAAATTAAAAAGCCAATCTTTCATGAATCTAAGCTACAATGTTCTTATTCCCTTGTAGGGAACGAACACCTGAAACAAGGTTCAATATTGTCGAAAGCATAAAAATGTATGATCAAATAAATGCAATAAGTGCGATAAGAAGTTCTCTTCTTATTCTTCTTCTGAATTTCTATTCAACGAAATAATAACTGCTAATATGAAAGAGGACATTTGTGCAGACCAAATGATTTTGTTAAGCCAAAGTCTTTTCGGATTGCTTGGCCGTTGATATTAATCCTGACTAATTGAATTCGTAATATTGAAAAAAACATGAGATTATTTGAATGGCTCTAATAAAAGTATAGCAAATAACAGTCTCGCCAAAATGATTATTTATAAAAAAGATTTCACGTAATAATATATATTTCTCTGGCTCAATTCATCATCTCCCGAACATTTCATGTTATCCAGAAAATCCGAAGCCGAAGAAACCGATTGACTTACCAGTTCCGAAGGATGTCGATGATGACTTAGATGAAAATGATGATGATTTGGATGATGATGATGACTCGGATGCAGACAGCGATAATGACAGCGACGCAGATAATGACAATGACAACTCAGATGGTGATCTTGAGGATGTTTTGAGTGATCAAGCCTATGAGGACGAGCGAGACGACGCTTATCTTGATGATTATGATACGACAACTGTTGGGTTTGTTTCTGTTTTTTCACTGAATAGCTTTATTTTATACACGAATACAAAACTTTAATAAGAATTACAAAAAAAGTGCGCAAGGGAAGTGAAGTTCAATAAAAAATGGCTGTTGAAATAGAAGTTAGCACATCTATTCCGTAAAAATAACCCCCCAGACTGATGAATCACCACTGGGTAGGCCAGTTATTTGGTCATTGTCCCTCAACGATTGTCAAATTTTAGGCGACAGGACGTGCACACAACACACACGGAAAAAAATTAATACTTGAATCAAGTGTCTTTTATACTTAATTTCAGTATATGCGTTATGCTTGAAATTAGTATATTATATACTTGATCCTAGTATATCCCTAGTTATTATTAGAATCGTCGGACAATCCATTTTTTTATCGATTTTCATCGAAAGTGAATTTACTATGATCAACTATAAAATATATTTCATCCAAGTATATTTTTGCTTTTATTTTTTTTTTCCGTGCACCAGTTTCATAAAAATTGCTGAACGTTCATGATTTGCTATTTTTAAGGCATGCTTAATGGAGAATTTTCTGTAAGATTTTATTCTGTTCGGGCAAAATTACCTGACAATTTCGTACTTTTTCCCTAAAAAATGCGAGAAAACGATTGCTTGTTTTGGTTGACGTGAAATCTTGCGAAATTTTAACTGAATATTTGACTTCGTGTATTTTTTTATGTTTTCCCATGATAATTGGTGACTAATTATTTTCTCCTTTAGTAGTACTAAGCCAACAACAATGGCTCCAACCACGGAAAAAAGTAAACAAGAAGTTACAGCGATGCCAGTACCAGTCAGCTCGAGTACACAGCAACCAGCCCAACCACAGGGGACACCGGATCCGTATCTAACACACTTCGATCCACGATCTGAGCACCAAAGCTATAAACAAGCTCAAATGAGACTTGAAGAAGTACACAAAGAAAAAGTCACCAAGGTAATTCATTCAATCAGTATTACTATTGACACCAAATAGCACCATTTTTTTTTCAATCTGCTAGATCTAGTTGCAAAAGATAACAATTGCCTTGAGCAAAATAAATAATAATCAGATAAATGTTTAAAAAAAAACTATACCTCAGAAATGCCTAATGCATACCTAAAGGTGGTAAGTGGTGCCCAGTGAGTTGTAATCATTGGAAACTTCGTGACGAAGTATTGGTCGGAAATTAAATAGACTACCAGTAGCTCAATTGGATAAAGCATCAGGAAATCTGAAGATTGGAAGTTCAAATTCTGCCGGGGCATCTTCGATTTTCCTCTTAATTTACTTCTACTAAAAATGATTTGAGGTCTTCCTTAAAAATTTCCAAAGATTGTGCTACTATTTATTCAATTGGAAGAACTAGTATTTAGAAGTAGATTTTGAATGTCGTACTCCTCTACTGAAGTCATTTTTTGAAATTCCCCATCAGGATTCAATCATTACAATTCTGCACGGAGAAGAATACTCGATAGAAATTACGTATCTTTCCCATAATTCTGGAGCGAAATGTGATTGAAAAGAATTTTATGGGGCCGTTACGCAATTTTTTCAGAGAGATTCATAATTTTCATTTGAATTGACTATGAAAAATTATAATTCTCCCACTCCAGTTTCCTGAACAGCTTCTATAATCGATGAGTGAATGGCGAGTTGCATCATTTTTATTGAATATTTTTCTCCATGTATTGCTGGAGAAAATAATTAGATTGATTACCACCTTAAATGTATACATTTTCCCCAATTATTAAATTCAAGAAATTAATAGAAATTCTTTTGAATAAAATATGTAGTTTAGGAAAACTGAATAATCGTTGGAGGAATCTATCCAATGCTTATTACAACAGTTGCCATAATGCCAATCTAATGAGGTTCATCTGAAATTGATTAAATTAAAAAAATCGGATTTTTCAAGTATAAATAATGCCCTCAAACAAATAAGTATTCGTTAAAAATAATTGTTTCTCTGTATGCAGCATGCAAACATTTCTCTTGAACTCCACATGAAGGAAAAAACTAATTCCGCCAAAAATTTCGTGATTTTTTAAAATTTCTCATGCGCTTCCATTCTCGATTTTTTTTCCACATTTACATCAGACCCTACATCTTTAATTTATTCTACCCTTCCATGTGATGCTGGCGCGTGGTATTGACTGCTAATACTCCACGATTCAAATAAGGAGATATATGCCTACTGTCGGTTTCCGATGAGCTCCTAGTTTGATTCAGCATACGCATCTTCTCTCTTCTCCCATTCCCAAGAAATACTGACTCTTATCAACTCCTCCCGTTGGTGCCAATAACTTTTCGTTCTCTCTCCACGACATTTTCTAAGCCTCTTTCCCTTTTATTTTACCTTCACTCCCACGTTTCTTCTCGAATGATACCCAGCTTCACAAACATGTAGGATCATTACTCAGGAGACAGTTTTCCATTACCTCTAAATCTCGTGCATTTCTCCTGGTCTTAATATATTCAAATTCTTCACTCTCAAATTTTCTTCAGACACCAGCGATGTCCATCATCACTACACCTACTCAACTCATCAACAAAAATTATCACTGTAAACTTATTTGCATTCATCTTCTTACCTTTTTTCAAATAACATTCGCGTACGTTCTCATTAGCTCCATCCATGCCTTAATTCCTACTACAATGACTTTATGTTCTGTGTATGTAAATTAGAATATTTTCAATGCTCTCGCACATTTATGCCTTGAGGTATGACTCCTAATCTATCTATGGATGAGAGGTATACCGTAGCTAGTACATGTGCATGTCCAGCTCTCTGAAAAGTGTTTGATAATCTCGGTGCAGAGCTCGGCAAGTAAATTGCTTGAGGCAATTTACTTGATTTCTCACTTGGATAGTAAATGACTCGGGAGTTACGACGCTCTTCTTCTTATAAATGGACTCCCACAAAATTCAGATTTCTTCTTGCATGTCGGGGACCAACACCATGAAATTTTTCACCTTAAAAAAAAAAATCTTGATTAATTTACTTTCCGAATCAGAAACTCAATAAATAGCCCCAAGTAATTTATGCTAGCTTTTTTAATTAGAAAATAAGTTATTCAAAATGTTTACGATATTTTCGATGGCTAAACGTACGAATAGCGTCTTCTTTCGACAAATAGAAACAAAATTTTAAATTTGCAAAAAGCACAGCTTTACTACTCTGTCAGTACATCATACGGTAATATCCAGTACAAAAACAAAATCATTTTGATTGATGAAACAAAAAAACAATGAGTGAAGACGAATAATATTCATATGATTATTATGAACAATGATAATCTCGACGAGTGAAAAATGGGGGATTTCCCAGAATAAAGTTTATGATGGATTCGAACCTTTGACAAATGGCTTGAATATATCGAATTTAACAAGATTGAACGATGGGTTGCAATCAGAAAAAATTCACCAGATCAATTCAGCCAATGCTATCAAGCCTGACTGGTGTCTCAAATCCCATTCGTTGACTTTTTGCTTTAATACTGCTATTAAATTTTTCTCCTAGGGATGTTTGAAATTCGAATTAACTGTAAAATAAGGCAGCTCTAACAAAACTCGGTGATTCATATACAAGTATATATTCCCATTTTTTCCATCTGCTTCTCATAATATCTCTGCTGACAGTTGTTATTCTTTTTATTTATTCAAACAACTCTCTATTCTTTTTAATTTAATTCTTCATCAATCTATCTTCCTTGTAACGTTATTATCATTTTTCTTCTCTCTCCTACCACGAGCCGAGTCGTGAACTATGCTTTCCCATTTTCCAAACTAATCTCCTCATTTATGTTCACCATTATCATAGTACACCCTTTCCCATTCTATTTCTCTATTCCAATCGTGTAATCCTCTATGCTTTCTCGCGGGCGTGTATGTTCTAGTCTAGCTTTTGTCTTCGGTTCATGGAGAGAAATATTCAACAAAATTTACATAACTTTTCCCAAATCCGAAGCGAAATAATGTTACAGAAAATTTTACAGAACTCTTACTTTATTTTTTCCTATGTATAATAACCGTTTTTGGTATAGCTTTATAGCGTCTATAAAAAATTATGATATAATCAATATAATTTTCCGAGTTGATTTCATGCTCATCTAATGGCTCCATCTTCAGTTGCCCTCCTTCTTTGACCATTTAACTCGATTTTTTCTCTCTCCTTTTTGATGGCTCATCAAAGACAGAAAAATCGTCTCATCAATCTCTCTTACCCCAATCTGTACTTTCCCTGTACGTCGTCCAGTGTGTTGTCATATCCTCCCCTTTTCCATCTCGTCAGCCGTTTTATGGGCAACACCAGTGATAAATAGTCACAATTCTCACTGGGTCTTCCCCATGACATACTCTTCCGCCGTCTTCAATAGTGATAAACTATCTTCCCATCATACGTGGGCTCCACCTACTCATTCGTTTCGCGCTCTTTACTGGTCACTGACAGCCCCTTGATCACTATTCGCCCACTCTTCTTCCCTTTTTTATCTCTCAATTTCATGAAATCCCTCCAATCGTAACGTTTTTCTTCAGCTGTACCAGTTCACCTAATTTTTTCATTTTTCTGATTAGAATCTTGTTGCTTGTCTAATAACATCACTTCTCTGATCTAAACCATCTGATCAAAACCATGCCATGCATCGAAATCTCCTCTCTGATGAGTACTCCACACTGTTGGAATTACACGTGAAATTCTTAACAATTACAAATTCAAAGGAAATTTTTGTGAAATTGTTCATTGACGAATTAGTTCATTTTTGGAATGTTTTAATAATTCTCAAATTTCAGATCCATATAGCACTGAAGAACTATAAAAATGTTTAAAATTCAAATAATAATTTCCCTACATTTCCAATCTATTAAAAATTCAATTGTCGTCAATGTTCAATTTTTATGATGAGCATGAAAATTCAAAATGTAATTCAAGAATCCATTATTATTGAACATGAAAAACCTAATAAATGAAGAATTTAATAAGCATGTTTAACTGAAATTCAAATTCAAATCTCACTTTGTGACGGAAATTTCAAGAAATTTCTAACAATGTATATCAGTTTGCAAATCTCTGTTATTGTGTAATTTTACTATCCATTTCCCCCATGCTAATGAGCTCTGAATAATGGATATGAGAGTAAACTGAATGAATATAATGAATGAAAGTTTTCTAACCCGGGCTCAAAGTCAGGAACTCTCGATTATGCATGTCAGGGTCTCATCCGACCTCTGTTGTGGAGTGTTTTCCTCTTTAAAAAATCCACTTTAAAAAAATATAATGCAACGTTTTTTCTCGGCACTCTTTCCCATTATAGACTTACCAATATTAACATGAGACATCAACGCAAAAGCATTTTCAGTTGATTTCCATCTACTTTGCCCCACTCGAAAATTTTTCAAAAGATCCAAAGAAGGTGGTCTTTCGTACATTCCGATTTCTTTCAAGTTTTGATTTTTAGGATTTCTTTCAAGTTTTGATTTTTAGGATTTTTTAAGGGAATCGTACTTAAATTCAATTGATGATTTTTCAAATTTCAAACGCAAAGTCAAATAAGAAAAAAATATTTTAGCTCTTTTTAAATTGTTTTACGAGGAAAACAAATCACTACGGGAATAAACTAAAAATGCTTTTCCGGGGATGTTCCATTTTGGCCAAATCTCCACTTGCATCAATGCAGGATTCAATCCTTTGAAATACAATGAAACATAAAAACAATATCCAAAATCGTGTAAGATACCCTGAATAAGAATCAATAATTTATGATGGTATCATAAATGGATGGTATCATTAGCTTAACTTGATGACCTAATCTTTCAAAATGGTCTTTTATTATGAATATTTGGGTGACATTAAGGATTGCCAGATAGCGATTTTTAGGAGAAATTCTTTTTGATTTTCTAAAAATAGCATAGATTACAGCAAGTGTAAATTATTCGTGTCCTCAATCTCACTTAATATTGATTGATTGTGACTGTATCTATAATGAAAAAAAAAACAAATAAAGAAAAAACGAGCATCTGGCAACTCTGGTGATATTTTACCTCGAGGATGTTGTCTCGATCTTGAAATAGACTCGATGAGACTGACATTATTACCATTATCGAAGTCTGTGTGCTCTAACGTTTTCAGGTGATGAAGGACTGGAGTGATCTTGAAGAGAGATACCAAGACATAAGAGCAAGAGATCCCGTCGCTGCAGATGCTTTCAAGCGATGGATGACAGCACGATTCCAGGAGACAGTGGCAGCACTTGAAGCCAGTGGCGCAGCTGAGAAACATCAACTCAGTGCAATGCATCAGCAGAGAGTTCAAGTAAGTGTTCTTCCTTCAACCAATATCCAAAATAGACTATCACTTTCAATTTAACCTTGCCATCGTTATTCCACCGTTTTTATAGGAAGCCGTTAAGCAAAGGAATGAAGAGGCAATGTCTTGCTATACAGCTGCATTGAATGAAACTCCACCAAATGTAAATATTTGGCAGTATAATGAAATACACAAACGCTAATTGTTTTGATAAGAAAAACTGTATGTCTAATGACTTTACCCTAGATGCATCGAATTCAGAAATGCCTGCAGAAACTTTTGCGCGCTCTTCACAAAGACAGACATCATACCATCGCTCATTATAAACACTTGCTGGACAGCAGTCTTGAGCAGGCTCAGCGTGAAAAGCCAGCCACCCTAGAACATCTTGCAGAAATTGATAGAATTACAAATCAGAGTCTACTCATGCTAGAACGGTACTGAATTTATCCCCTTCATGGCTCATACCTATAATATCCATCCGTAGGGAAATCATTTTTTTGCATTTTCTTTTCTTTATTTTATCATTTTATTTCATTTCTCATACATAGGTATCCGGAATTGAGTGCAAAAATCGGCCGGCTGATGGATGATTATGTACTGGCCCTCAGGAGCAAGGACGAGACACCAGGACTCTTACTTGCGATGACCCGTGAAGCTGAAGCTGCCATTCTGGATAAATATCAAGCAGATGTGGCCAGTAAACAGCAAGGTAGCTTTTTTACAAATGGATATCAAGTAGAAATAGAACTTTTCCTCCTCTTTTCACCAGGAAAAGAAATTTCAACGGGTATGGTATGGTACTATGCTCAGGATGTCTAACAAAGTTGATATTCCCGCCCAAAATCAAATATCTTGGAGTAGTAATAGAATCATATCTAGATTCGAATTCTGTCAAGATACCAATGGAACGAATATTCAAAAAGAACCAATAGCATTATTTAGTCGATTAACATTTTTATGAAGATCAAGAGAACAGCTTCATATCTCAGTTGAAAAGGAATCCATGGTGTTTGAAGTACCTGTCATTTATTATGAAAATCGTCAAGTTAAGATAAAAAATATAGGAGGGACAAGGTGTTTTGCTGCCAGGGCATCATGTTGAGGACAATCACGCGATCCCTTATGGTTACTTCCTAGGAAGTATCTTATGAAAAAGCTATCTTATTTTTTTTTTTTGGATAACAGAATCCATTTACAGAGTCTTTTTTGTGCTCTCTCCTTCACAATTTTCAGCATTTACAATCCTCCCTACTTTCCCATTAGATGAGCTCAGTGTATGGTATGTTGCTTTCATTTCGGTTGGATTTCTTATGATCAATCTTCTCGCCCCCTATGAAAGAGTATGACCTTTACTGCACTGTACTTGGCACGCTATCTTCACAATGCATTTATCCCTACCTACGGTACTATATTTCATATCTAGGATTCAGATGATTTCCGAATTATTGATGGTGTTCTCATCATGAGAACTCATAATTACATAACATGGTTGTGTCTCATCATGGATATTCTCATGTATAATATCGCTCCTGGATCACATTACGTCATCTTCAGATTCCCTGAAAATTTCCTTCATATATATTCATCAGTTCCAATTTTAGATAAGCTCATGTTTTGAAAAGTAGATCCTTCTGTGAAACAGGTAGGTAGATAGTTCTTCCAATGATTGATCGTCCGGAATTGGAACCGTAACTGTAACTATAACCATACCTATAACAAATATGGATATAATAATTTGTTTGTTAATTGACATTTGAAACATCAGTGTCTGATTGTAGTCCAGAGATAATTCGGGATCCTCTGTTTTTAAACTAGCAATCTGCTGTCTCTGGCCTTCACTATCAAATAACAGACTTATTGACAGAATTAAAATTCGAGTTGAATCCCGAAGTAATTTTCTTCTAGGACATATATTAATTGGAATTATGAACTGTCAGGTTTTCACTCAGCAAAATGCGTTTATTCGTTATTTAATTTAACGAAAAATAAAATTTTCTTCTTTTCATTTCAGAAAAAGAGCACCAAAAACAATTGGAACGTGAACGTAAGGAGCAGAGAAAAGCTGAAAGAGGTGAATTGCGTACGGAACAGGAGGAACACGAGGAGACTAATCCAGTAGTTGAGAAAAAAGATGTATCTCTTGAACCACAACAAGCTCCTGCCGCTGCAGTAATACATACTGAAGCTATCGTGAGGGCTGCTCACAGTATGATTCATGATGTCTCACATTCAGAGCCGGTAATGGTTTTTACGTAGCATATTAATTGTCAAAAAATTAAGTAGTAGCACTTCCTATGTTACAATCAACCCGTAGTAGACGTTACCATTGTTTAGCATATATTAATTAATAGCTCATGGAAAGAGGTAGGGGTTAATATTCGTGGCGTAATTCTCAATGGGATGAAAACAAAAAAATCTAGATATAAACTATAATTTTAATAAGTTCGTAAATTCGAGCCCCTAACAAAGAGGTTCGAATTTGTAAATTACAAGATTAAATAGGTGAGCTACACTATTGGAAAAGTACACTTGAAATTTCAAGTAAAAAATCATGAAATTTTGAACAACAACAGGGTAACATGACATTTGTGTAGAATTTTTCATTGACAAATCAGTTCATTTTTGGAATATTCCGAAATTGTAAAAATTCAAGAAACTTGAAGTAGTAATTTCGCGGAATTTCCAATCTATGGGAAAGAATGATAAGAAAGAAAAGAATCCATTGAAAACCCTTGAGAACCTACGATATTGCTATAAGATTCTCTCCTATGCAGCTACTGTTAAATTCACTCCATACAGACTTGGTCCATACAGAATCCGGATGTGAATTGAAAGCGTCGAATTGATTTTCTAAAAAATGGAAAATCTACCATATATTACCGTACATTCAACACGGAAAAAATAAAAATCCATTGTTAATGGGCAATGATTTTTTACAGGGTTACTCTGTAGAATACGAGACGAGACGACAGGTGTATCACAGAGAAAGTCGTTCAGTTTACTTCACAGTTGCATTTGCTGGTATTGCGCTAATTGCAGTGGGCATGGTTGGTGTAGCAATATTCAAGAGACGAAATGCACGAAGCCCTCATAGTCAGGGTTTTATTGAAGTAGATCAAGCAGCAACGCCAGAAGAACGACACGTAGCCAACATGCAAATAAACGGCTACGAGAATCCAACATATAAATATTTTGAAGTGAAGGAATAACTTTATCACCTTTAAAATCAGAATAAGTATCTCCGATTTATTGTTTTCTCACGTATATTATTCGTTTTTTGTCGAATGAGATAAGTGAAAGAGATCTATAATATAATTGATGTCCATTGTTTGTATCACCAGGCTGTATATGGGTAGACGATGATTTCTGTCAACCTTAGCGAAATATTGAGTCATTTTTTATTATTACATATTGAAAATGCTTCTGATTGGAGTCGGATAGCATAAGTGATCAACACTCCGTATATGTCCATGTGTAATCGCAGCGTATTTACTTATTTATTCTGAAATTTGAAGATGAAAGTATGATTTTAATTGAATACTCTAAACTCCATACAGTGTGACAACACGGGTTGATGAAATTCTCCACATTCCATTCCATTATTATTTTACGCTAAACGAAGAAAGACTAATGTGGGTTTAAAATTGGCTTGAACTACTTTGTTCGGTGTTTATTTATTTAGATATGTCCTTTCCTTTGTAATTCTTTCCATTGAACAATGGGTTGTAATCGTTGAAGCAATATTAAGGAAACCTCACACCCCACACATTCAATAATGTCGGAATGTTTAACGCAATCAACGGAGTGTTGAATAAAATGCTATTTAAAGCACATAAGTTCGAGTGCCATGGAAGTGATAATACAAAATTCATGAACAAATGTAGGATTCCAATCATCGAAACTAGTTGAATTAATCGATCATGTTCTGATATTTTAAGCGATAAAATAGACGAGTGCACAGCATATTGATAAATTGTACAGTTTCGCTGCTTGAAATCAATTAATAGTAATTCAGCAAAAAGTGTTAATCGAAGAACGTTGCTATCGTTGCTACTGGAGTAATATCGATTAAGAAAATGTGAAGGAAAGTATATAATGGGTTTCATAATAAGAAAAAATACTCTTGAAATATCAGAACGTCTGTTGAATCAATTGCGTCGCTTAGTTTCTCCGATCGAACATCCGATTTCATCGTACCTTTCAACTTTTCCATTTCAATATAGTTTCTAGATGGCGTATCCTTTTGATTCCCAGTCATTATTGAGTACTTAATGTCTATTTAGTTTGATGGATAATTAAATGTTTAAAAATACTGAAGAGCACTGATATACTCAGTTGAAGAAAAATGGAGTGAAAACAAAAAAATAAATTAATCTATCATTCGAATAAAAAAATAGTGATTAAGAGAGTAGTCTACTATAATTGTTTTTGTCATTTTATTTTTCGAATGTCGCAGAAAATCACTGTTGAGAATCCAATAATGGAAAATATTCGAGAGGCTTGTTCGATTTTGCCGAACCTTCTTTTCACACACGAAATCTGTGTGCATACAGCGTCGTTATAAATCATGTCGGGACTGTCGAATAAAAGGAACAAGACTATTTTTCTTCAAAAATGGAGTTATTTAGATGGGGTATAAATTTATACAGCGGTACAGTGGATTCGAAAAATAAAATACTTTTATGGCAATTAATGCCATTGAAAACAAGACAAAGCTGTTGGATTTTTCATTTTCGTGTGTTTTTTTTTCTAATTCAATGAATTTTTTGAAATTAAAAAACAAACGCGTTCATAACAATAATTATCTTAGGATAAGATTAATAATGCATATGCATGTATGATGACGATGGTGATGAATAATATACTACACGTTTAACGCTTATATATTTGTATATGATCAAGAAAAGATAGAAGACACGCACTTTGGCTCCGTTAGCACGAAGGAGCAAACACACGCATATGCATACATTATACACTTACAGTATATACCTTCAAATATACACACTCAATTTTAAATGATTTATGCTGGGACGAGGCAAACAGTATTGGAATAAATTCAATGAATTTATAGATATTTATTCCCTTCCAGAGAATATGTAGGAAAGCTTTAAGGAGCTTTATGCGGCGAAATTTGCTACCAATTGATATTCAACATTTAATATGTGCATCGAAATTAACTAAAAAATAACTCAAATAAATTACATGTGTGCTCATTGCCTACATTCCCCGACTGTCACAATGCTGTCAAATAATATCAAAAGAACGACAATTGATTCATTTAACTAACCCTCATGGAGTTACAAGTGAAGAAAAATATTCCGCTCAATTGGTTTATGATTGAAAAATGGCATTGTGTAAAATCTTTTTATATATATTGATGAAAGGTATAGTAATTCACCACAGTAAGTGTACTATCAAGACGGTCATAATGAAAATCAACACAAAGATACCATCCTTACATTCTATTCAAATGATATATAATTATATAGACACATACATATACATAGAATTACAGATCTGCGTATATATTTATATATCATTATGATAACAGATTTATTATTGTAACTATAGCATGTAGTGTTATGTAAAAACACATGGTCGCGTATGAAACATGGAACTGACGCCGAGTCACAGGTTCACGGGCTTTTTATCAAATTACTTGCTCCTTTTTTTTATTTTTAAGATAAAAGACTAAAGAGAAGATCAATTCAATGAGAGCTGACGGGCATGAGATTCTTCTCATAAATCTTTATCACAACCTTTGCTTTTTCTCTCCTGAATCTTTCAATTGAGGTGAAATGTTAATTTATCAATTTTAGTGGCTCGGAGCATATCAGTTCGGAGACTATCAATTGTTCTGGAAATAGGAAGGTGAAATATCATCATGGGTTCTGATCTTTCAAATGTATGTGTATGTGCGTGTATCCTGAATCCTTAAATATAACGATCCTGTGACCCGGTTTTGGGCCTCTCTAAGTAAATTTAAAAATTGATTTTTGTAAAGAGGTAATAATTCTATATGGAAATAATCAACCTAGCTTAAAGTGAAGAGAAACTACAGAGCACGTGAGGTGTGAGAATAACAAATTGAAAGATTAATAATAAACAGAAATATACGTCCTTCGGTAGGAGTCCCACTTGTGAGGGGATTGAAAAGAAAAGACAAATGATATAATAACAACACGGTTCAACTAAATTCGCTCGGATTTTGTGTAAAAAGGGGAACGTAATCTTTTGGATTATTTTTTGGTGCTGATTCAAATGTTACAAACAGGAAAGGCCAATATATCCAGGTTTGAAGGAAAAAAAAACAAAGAATTAGACGAAAGTTGAAGTAAATGAGGAGATCAAATCCATCGCTGCGTAAATCCAGTGATTGGCATGAAATGTGAACGAAACCATTGAATAATTTGTTTTCCAGTCACTAGTGGAAATGCTCAATGCAGGATGAAATTATGAGTTTAGAAGCAACATATTTTTTCAAGTTTATATCTTCCCGTTTTGATCATTTCTTTAGTCAGTTAACCCAAGGAATCGATCCGAGGGGATCAATACCTTGACGATTTGACCTCGTCAGGCAACCAACCAACAATCGAAACAAAAAACTCTTGCACGTAAATCGAGAATTGATTAAGACTCCGTGCGTGTTTTCTGACGTAGTAGATATAAAAAAGTGATAAAATGCTGCGCCATATCCACAGCTCAATAAAACTCTTGAAGGAGATGTAATTGCACAGAAAAAATCCATTTTTTCTAGACTGTAGAACTAAAATCGCAGATGGAGTGCTCTTCAATGCTAAAAACTTTGGAGAAATTCAATTGAAATTTATTTCTTGACGATTTTATAACTCACAGAAGTCATATTGTAGATAAACTTCACACTTTAATGACCTCTACTAGATCTGTAAAATCCCAAAGGAGTTTCAATTCAATTTGTCAACAGTTTCGAGAGGAGAAAAAAAGCCAAGATAATTTCAGAAGCAATCTGAAAAGAGTGCATTTTTTGTGCACGTTTAATTCTTTCATTGCGTTTATTGGGCTGTGGGAATGACTCAAAATATCACCACTTTTTCCTATCTATATACATACCCTCTTCAGCCTTGCGAAGGCTAAGAGATAATTATATATTATATTATTATTGAGAAAAACTGAGAACTTCTGAGATAATCTCGCGCTTTTATCACTGAAATAAATGTAATTTCTAGTATGCGATCTATCATAAATCATTTGGATGTAGCTCAATTAGACGACAGAGCATTTAGCATTTTCATTTTTCATCATTTTGAAAAAAGATGTCAATTGTAATGCCAAACATTGAGTTGATTTGACAGTCAAGTTGTTGTAAACTTGTCTCCCAATGGCAGAGATTAGCATAAAAAGAGAATCTCTTATCGATTTCAGCCGGTGCCGAGTGGAGGATATTTTTAACTAAGGAGCATACAATACACTATTGAACCTGGAATGTTTAACAACAACGAAGTCACAGAAAATTTGTGTAGAATTCTTCATCGAGAAATCGGCTAATTTTTCAAATATTGTGATCATTGGCGGTTTTCGGGATCATAGGATGCTGAAAAGCCGTAAAAATTTCGAGAATTTAGATAACAATTTTTTCGACTTTTCAATCTATAGCAGGCTACTTTGGTTCACTTATAAAAGCACAAAAATGTCTCAAATAATTCCTACTTTTCTCAAGATATATATATATATATAGACATATATCAAATTGCGATTGAACCGGATTAGCGTTAGGACAATTGGACAAGCCACAGATATATAAAATTTTAAACAATTCGGTGATAAAACGGGAGAAGCATTGGTGTCATTAAAATTAGCATTGGGGAAATCATTCAGAAAACAGCATTTCACTTTTGGTCAAGATAAGTTCGAATTCCATTAAACCATGTCACGGGTTGCGTCTGTATTTACGAAAAAATAGACCTTATTCCTTTCTCATAATCTATCCAACATCTACTAAAGTTCTTCCTCAATTTAGTATCACCGCCAAAAACGAGAAAAAGGTAACTATTTTTTCGTTATTATAACATTCTTTACACACGTAGGGGAAAAAAAATTTACAAAAGCTAAGTGATTGTCTATGAAATATTTCTTTGCAAATTCCTATACTTAGGTTTGTCAAAATCGTTTTCTTTGTGACTGTACAATAACAACACGAATTCGAAGAAAATGAGAAAAAAATGAGACATTCGGAGAGGGAATGAAAACCACTATATCATGCTGGCAATTGACCAATTTGTAAGAGAACATGAGGAATTAAGAATGCGTGGGAGCTTTCACTAAATAACAGCGATATTCTACACTGTTTTTTATTCAAGTAAAAACAATAATTTCAGTTTTTCTACATCTGTATGAACAAGTTCACTTTATCGATTTGTAAATGATTTGATAAACGATTTACGTTTACAATTACTTGGTCAGAACGAAAAAGTGAATATTTCTCATTTTAACAACAATTTTTGTGGGCTTTTTGTTAAGTTAGGTCTGGCTACTGCTCGGTAATTTAAAAGACGTAGAGCTAATGAGGATGAGTTTTCTACGACAGCAGGGGTGAATATAAAGAAGCAGAATACAGGCGAATCTTCGAATCCTCTTCACCTAATAGATAGGAAAATGCAAAAGTGCATGAAAAAAATGATCACCGCAGAATAGAGATACATTAGGAGGTAATTGAAAAAAAGTCTATTAAAAATACGAGCTGGGTACAGGCCAAATGGGACATATAATTTGGATAACCCGTCCCTTCACCTGGATCAGGCCTCCGTCGACTAGCTCGTATTTATTGATATTTTTAAAAATTATCTACGTGTTCTCGCCCTAACTTCGCCTCAGATGCACAAATATGCATTTCGAATGGTTTTCTCATTTTTTTACATATTCGGTGGGGAGAATTCATACAACAGATATTTATCTCCGTATCGTTTTTCACCTCTCGCTGCTTTTTTTACCACTTTTCTTTTACTCTCTAAAAATGAAAACAAATACAATAATATGAATCATGGATAAAAAAATAATTATGTTTGTGGATACATGTAATTCTACTTACCAATAAATAAATGATGGAATACCCACATCGAAATCTCTCCAACATTTCTCAAAGCAATCCCTGGAGATAGAAATTAAGTCTGCCTCGATTAGACCAATCGCAAATTTCTTTCCACAACTTTTTTATTTCAATTTCAAATAACTTTTACATTGTAACGGCATCCAGAACCGATTATATGGCATGAATCTTAACATGAAAAACGTACACCACAATCTTAGTACAAAAAAACTTATGATTTAAGAAAATTGGCTCTTTCCGCCTTTTTTAAATGTTTTTCTATATTTCTGGTCAATTATTAATTGAAACAACGAACATAAACATACCATTTTCAAAAATAATAATAAACCTCACACTCGTTAATTCCTGCACTTCTTAAACTTGTATCGTCTATAATAATATGTCGTAATGATTTAAAATTTTTCGACTTTGGAAAGTAAACTGGATATTCATTTTCACACCTGACATCGTACAAAAAATAAAAAAATAAAAAAATAAAAAAACTCAAAATAATAGGTGATAATAGAAAGAGAATCCAAGCGCTCTTAAACTCAAAGAACAATGACATTAAATTTCGATGACAGTAGAAAAATAAATAATTCTTATCCAAAAGGTTGAATAATCATTCGGAACTATCACTTGTTGGATACGAATTACTGTTCTGATTGAAATATACTTATTGTTGAGCGTTCGGGAAGGAAAACAAGTTGCATTTGTTCATCTTCTCCCCTACCCACTAAGGCCCCAGTTACTTCGATTATCGTGCCGACTGTCCACGAGGAATCCACATAAATCTCATTTTCAAAAAATAAAGGTATCTGTGAATAAACACAAACATAAAAAATCAATTTTCAATTTCAAAGAATAACAATTTTTTTGTTAAGTATTCCCATCAAAAGTTTTGGAATTATTAAGTCTCAGTCAAATTAAAAAAAATAGAAGGCCATTTTTTAAATATTTTCTCTGGAAATAAATAACTTTTGGAATCATGATATTAATCTTCTGATGTCAATCAAAGTTTTCAGCGTTCGTGGCATTCTATCATTCATTGGCATCAAACAATTAAGAACAACATATTAATTCTCAATCAACAATAACGAAAAGTGAAATATTCAAGCTTTTTTTACCTCGAAAGTAGACTCATCTAAGAGTGTAAGAAAATAACCAGGTGAGTGTCTGGATTTGCCGTCATCCTTTGATTTACCAATAACTCCGATGACATCTAAAAAGAATGAATTTTCACGATTACGATTTATGGATCAATAATTAGGGAATTTTCTCATTTTGTTCATGTATACTCGAAACACTCCTCGAAAAAAAATTATATTATTCTATATTTTTTTCATGAATTCCATATTAAGGCCAGGGTGAACCATCTGTTAAACGCAATCTTTTGTTCAAATTTTATCTTGTTAGCTTAAAATATATTAAAATGTGGGAACCATGCGAGGGGTGCTCGCGACTTTAATTTGACCCCCGGTTTTAATATCTTTTAGGCTAATAGAATAGAATTCAAACAAATGATTGCGTTCGGCAAATGCTCCACCTTGGATTCAACTTATTAAATTTAGCGAACTCTTTTTAATAATAATTGAAGAAAAAATGATGAACGATCTTTTTTATATATCTCTAAAGTTTTTCCAAGAAAAGTCGACCAAAAACGTCAATCACGAAAATTTAGTTATGAATGTCGTTCATTCAATAGTGGAGCTTTAATTCTTTAGATATTTTTAATTTCGTAATGGCCTTACCAACAAGACTACCGACTGCCTGATCTTGTAACTCATTAAAATTTTCGAGACGAGTTGCCGAACAATCGTCTTCCATTTTTTCCGTCGTAATATCCAATTGTGTAACAGCAGAGGATCCGTCCATTATAATCTCGAAGTCATTATCGCAGTCAATAGGAATTCTCGCGTCTTTAGAAATAACTAAAGCGTCTTTCAGGGCAAGCTGTGAACCAACTTTGAGTGCATTAGCACATTTAATAGAACCGTGAGGCTCAAAGATAGTGCAGCCAATTTCGCCAGTGCTATCTTCTCCAATAAAAAT